TTTATGATCGCAAATTAATAATTAACAGTAAATATGATTTTTAACAGTAATTACGATAATTGTTATTAATATTTAATTCCTCTTTTCTCAATATTTCATTAAATATTGATTTAGAAAAATTTGTGTTATATGTATTTCGACGTTTTCGTATAATCCCACATTATTAAATTTTGTTAATTAAACTCCTATAATATAATTTTTATTATATTTTGAACTTGAGCATTTATAATTGTATAGTAAATAATTATTATTGTATCATTGAATATATAGAGGGTTGCAATAAAAGATAATGTTAAAAAAGTTATGCAATATGATTGTTAATTATTTTATCGTATTTTAATCATAATGTAATAAAATTAGCAAAAAATACAATAAAATAATTAGACATAAAAATAAGAAATAAATTTTAAATATACTTAAATTTATTAGTAGCCCGTTTTTTTACTTACAAAGAAAAGAGGACCGCCGATAAAATTGGCGGGGGTGGTGGAGGGCCTCTAATTCATTTTTGCTAAATTAAATCTTAAATTAACAATATATATGATTGGAAAAGTTTAAAGTGTATTCAAAGTCTCTATAATTGCTAGTAATTATGGGGACTTTGAAAAATTCGTATGTAATACATAAAGACCCTCAAATCCAGTAAACCTCAAGTTATATGTAACGTACCTCTTATAATTAATTGTAATTTACCACAAGAATATAACTGTATTTATAATAACTGTAGTATATTACGCGTTAGATTATATTATAGTTATATTAATTGTTACATGTAATTTGGTATTAACTAAGAAAAAGGGAACTGCCGTTAAAAATTAATGGAGTGACTTTTGATTCATTTTTATTTATTTAAATTTTCTTTACAATTTTAAATTAAATGTAGTTTGTTTACAATTAGAAGAGTTTTGAATTTTATTCAAATTGCAAATTGCAATATGATAAAATATTTTGATGATTTCGCCATGTTTCAGTTCCAGACTGTACTTAAGACAATCTTAAATATAAGATCTGACTATCAATACAGGTAGAGAAAAATCTGAATATTAATTTGATAGATTTTAATTTTTTATTTCAACGATTTCAGCGATTTATTTCCATCAGGAGTACCGCAAAAAATGGATATTGTAGTTTACATCGACTTCTTCAGAGGGCAGTAATGCGTGGCGGGCCTCTCTCAGATTTCTTTCTGTCTGTACTATATTCATATATATATTTATTGCATAACAATATATTATAAAAATAATAATTATAAAAATAATAACTATTACAATAATAACACTTTCATTTTTGTTGTTTATATTGTGTAAAATTTTTATTAAAAAATTTAATCTAATTTTATAATATTTGAGATTCTTGAAATCAGAACATTATTAATATAATGATTTTTTAAAATTTATATTTATTTTAGTCGAATATTTATATTTTTCATTTTAATGGAATTATTATTATTACTAATAATTTCATTAAGATACGAAATAGTTTATGTTAATATTTAATTAATTTCATTAATATAATAACTTTTTGCGACTCGTTCGTGTTTCGCGCATCAAAAGCGTAAAATCTTACGCTTATTGCCGGCAATGTTAGTCGGCAGCAAAAAGGAGTATTTCTCCTTATTGTATATTTCTGGCATACGAAGTCAGAATATTGGCCAGCAATGAAAAGTGAGTTCAATCTGGCCAGAAGAAAGAAGAGGATCTGTTATTGATTGGTGTATAACAATTTGCTTTTAAAGGGTGTTATGTAAAAATAAACTAAATTCGGGAGGGTAACTTGCTCGCAAATTGTGAGTTCTTATATTTTTAATAACTTTTTATTTAAAATACAAAAATAATCCACGAATAACAGAGATAATAATCAAGTGCTGATAATCAGGTGCAATTTTGTAAAGTTTTTTAATTTACAAAACTTGCGCTTGATTATCCATGCGACTTTCATTAGTTAGCTTTGTTAGTTGTTAACTTTTTTTGTATTTTAAAGATGAAAAATATATTTTATTAGTATTATTATGTATTGCTCATTTATTTAATTAATTTATTATGATCAGTTAGGTTATTCCACTAAATTTATCGTGCGATAGGACATGGTTAGAAGAAACGCGGCATTAATTATTGAAAATGTTCTCCGTTCAACGGAGAATTACTACATTAATTCATTAATTCAATAATTAGGAATACACGAGTGGATAGGATACACGAGTAAGCACGAATAAATAAAAATACGGGAAGGTAGGACAAGTGTAGGTAGGAACTGTATAGGAACAATAAGTACGGATTGGTAGGGATAAACACAAAATAATAATAAATTATTATGAATAAAATTAAACTCTTAAATAAATTTCACGATTGGGTAATTAAATTTTTTTTAAAAAAAGAATGATTATAATAAAACTAAAAGATATAATAAATCTAACTAATAAACTATAATAGGTGATAGGGATATATAGACATCATATTATGTACTTGATAATTGGAAAAGAGAGATTAAAAATTAAAAAATTAATTTTATATTTTATTTAATTATATCAGAATCCCATTCCAATTATCAAATATGAAAGTAAATCAATTTAATTTCAAATTTTATTATTAGGTGTTGGAATTAATTCGTAGCGTTTTACAAGAGATGGGAAGTACTTTCATTAATGTATTTTTTAATGCTCATGTGAAATAAATAACATTCTTTCATTAAAAAACGCTACGAATTAATTCCAACACCTAATAAATTTTTTCAGCTCCTCTATTATTAAATTTTTTCAACTCCTTTGTTAAATTAAACTTTTTTATATAATTCTATACACCAACAAATTGTGTAACGCATCAATATTGTAACTAATTTTATTGTAAATAAATGTATGCATAATGGTACTATGTATGCAATATAACATTTAAATGTAAACTATGTCGAGGTAAATGCCATCATATTTTTGTAATTTTACGATTATTATATATTATTGAATCGTTTATATTCATACTGAATAAATCAAATTTATTGTTGCTTTATTGATGTAAATTATACGAAATCGACGAAACATATGATTACAAATATTGTTTATTTATTTAACGAGTTTGTTAAATATTTAATTTTAAAGTTTTTCTTTAATTTGGAGTTTATTTTTAATATCAAAATATCATTAATTATTTTGAGTGATTTCTAATTAAAAATTTGATGTTTAGAATCATTAATTTTTCTTTGTATTTAATTTACAAATTTATTAAATAAGTCAGTAAGGATTGGAATTTTTACTGAGGCAATAAATAACTTTTTTGTTTCCCTTTTGACATTTATATTTTTAACATTACAGAATTACGATTTATTCAATTATTCTCATTTTGCAAACGGGTATTGTCATACATTTCGCACTTTACTTTGTGGCATCTCTAGCTCTTGTAAATCCTATATTATAATATTTGCGCGGTTATTGTAAATGTAATCAGTACTTGTGCATGCATGCTTGGAATATTTTTGATATTTCAACATTATATCTTAATTTTTGTTATTCTTTTAAGTGATTCATAAATAATTAAAAATAATTTATTAAAAATAATAAATAATTAATTAATATTAGATAATATTCTGTACATCCTTTATATAATAATACATTTTATATTATGGAACAATTTGCGCTAAATGCATCTTTGGCTAACAGTATTAAATATTTTGTCAATCATTGTTTAATTTTTTCTGCTAAACAATTAATTTATGACACTGCTATTGTTGTAAATTATTTTGTGTTTTAAAAATTCTTTAAATTTATTTAATATAATGCCATAGTAATATAATTACTTAGTATAATGCCAATCATGGCTTGGTAAAATACGACATAACTAATACGATTTATTTAAATTAAAAAATAAGTTCCAAAAGCTTATTTAAAATATAAAATCATAGGAATCGATAAAAAATTTATACGACTTATTTAAAATATAAAATAGATTCGGGAAACTTATTTAAAACACTAATTAAGAAATAAGTCAGAAGTGTAGTTATTTAAAATAATAAATACTAAATAACTCTTTTATATATTTTATTTAAAATATATTCTTTAAATAACTTTATTTACTCTTAATTTACACCTTAGTTTTGGGTACCTTTATTATTTAATTACTCGTTAAATCATTCTGAATTAATTTTCATCACTTTTACAAGTATTGTATATAACAATTATTATACAATTTTTACATATATTTTGACATCTTTAGAAAGTATTTGTTAAGTTGTATATTTATAACAAATTGTATGCTGCTTATGGAAATAAATCAAGTGCTTCTGATGGAAGTATTATAAATGGCTGAATTAAATCTATTAAATTAATAAAGATTTCAGCGATTTATTTTTATCAGAAACATCGAAAAAAATGGTTATTCGTCGATATTTATAGTCGATTTTTATATTCAAGATCGTCTTAAGTACAATCTTAAAATGCCATGAACCAATCAGAGAGTATTAACATCTTAAGACATTACTTAAGACGGTCTTAAAATATGAACGGACTATGATTACCGGCTAGAGAACCCTATTAGTATTTTAAGACATTACTTAAGACAATCTTGAAATAAGGACGGATTATGAATACCTCCCATTGTTGTGTAGTTTGTATCCTCTTCTTTAGAAGACAATAGGGCATTTTGCGGTTACAGGAAAAAGGACCTCGAGTCCTCTCTGAGGTTTCTCTCTGGTACAGAATATAATACAAAATAAAATCAAACGTAACATGAAACAAAACCAAATACTGCAGATGTGTTACCCGACGAAAATATCTATGGACGTAGTTCAGTGTGTATATAGAGGCGCTTGTAACGATGGTTCCATCTAAAGCGCAGATATATCCACTCTTAGGGACTGCCTACATTCGAAGGCATAAGGAACAGGGAACAGAGAATAAGAATTTCAACCTATCAGAATCTGTGTATTTCGTAAAACATGATTTCTGATAGGTTGAAATTCTTTTTCTTTGTCCTCTGTTCCCCACTACATTGATTGTACGCAGTCCCTCAGTCACTATCAGTCTTCTCTAAACCTATGTAGATGTCTGTCAATTAGTATCACATCACTGTGCCAAGTAAGACCTTCTTCACGAAATATTTTATTTTAAATTTATTATACATATTGTGAACAGTATATCCAGTAAGTACATTTTATTGAAAGTAATAAATGTTAAAAATTCAAGTTACAATTACGTTAAATTAAATTTTTTTAAGATTTCAATTTATATTAAAGAAAATTATTATTTTTTATTCGTTTTTTCATCAAATATAAAAAAATTATGCAAAAATAATTTATTATTTTGCGAAAGTTTTGATAGCATCTTGAAAATTATAAGTATGATATTTAATTTAAATTTTCATTAAATAAATAATTGTCAAATGTTTTACGAGATACGAAATTATTTTATAAATCAGTAATTTACAACGCCGACCATTAACAATCGATGTATGTTTTATTCAACAAAGATTAGCTTCATATGCTGATAACATTGATGCAATCGGATATATTATAAAGTGTTTTAAATATTTTAAATATACTTTTAATTTGATAAATATGTAATGTGTAATGTATGTGAAAAATATAAATAATTTATTTAACATTAATTCTCTTTATACATTGGTAGGATGTAACAATATAACGTCGTGAACAGAAACATGACATTATCGCTAATTATTTATTTAAGTAGAGGGAATTGGGATTAAAAGTAAGTTGTAATGCTCACATAAAAAAAATATTATAAATAAAATACACAAGCGTAAGAAAGAAATAGAAGTTTGTAATATAAATAATTATGAACTTTTATCTTTTCTTTATGCTTTTGTTTTTTTAAATAAAAATAGAGAGCTCATTAATTGCAAAGCAATTATATAGAATAAACGACCAAATACGAGTAAATTTAAGTGTTAATATATTTAAAAAAGCGTTTAATAACCTAAGATCGTATACATCAGTTATCCTTAAGATTCGCTAATAATAAGAGACCAAAAGAAATAAAAAAATATAAAAATTTATTTTCGAGAGAGATGATATTATTTACAACACTTTTATTAAGAAACTCTTCGTCAAAATTAGACTTTTCTATTTTTTCCATAAACATTGACTTAATGTGATTTTCGTCATTTAACGATGAATTTGTTATCATAGTTTACTATTTGATGCTTTACTACTCCTTTTTATTATTGGACATGAAAGATTACGTTCCACAAATCATTATTTCATATAATTTAACAAGATTTTGTTTGTTTGATTGATTACTGGCTTCTTATTGTTAATATTATTCGCAAGTTATGTATGTTTAAGGAATTAATACTAATTTTTCTATTATTCATCGTTATTGTTAAACGGCTATGTAAGTCGATATGTATGTATACAATCTTATCAGATTATTAAATATCTTTTTAAATATATTAACATCTAAATTTTTTTGTATTTACAATATTATTGCTTTTGTATTTTATTTATAATATTTATAATATTTTTTTGCAAGTATTACAACTTACCCGTCACTTTTAACCCGAGTTTCCCGTATATAACGATCAAAAGTTTTTAATACATAGTTATTGTCACATTGGTTAATTATTATATATATAATAATGTTCTTCTTATATTTCTGATATGAATTTATTAAATCAGTCATCTCATGCTATTATATTGATACAACTATATTTATGTCTCACTGGGCGTTTAGATATCATTATCGCAATCAGATATCATAATTGACAAATCAGAGTTGCAATAGATTGCAATATTTAAACAATTATGTAAGTGAAAATCGATAGATAAGATTACCAACAATATTAAGCAAAAATCAATAGATGAGATAAAAAACATACAAGAGTGAAAAATACTATTCGGTGAGGGCAATTTTTTATGTACATAATAATATTTGTAAATTTATACAATTTCCAGCTACTGTGAGCCGATTATTTGTCGGTCTTAAAATGCAGTTTTAAATCAAAGCTAGAATATTAATATTACGATGCAAATAAGCATCTTAGAAAACTGTTAATAATTTCATGCTAATAATTTCATGCTAATAATAAGCATTTTAAAAATTGTAAATAATTATTAACAACTTTTTACTTAAAGTGCTCTACATTAATAATGTTAAATTGTTTGTCAAAATTAATTTATAATCTTACTACTTCAGTTTAGAACTGCGTTTCAAGACCGATAAATAATAATCGACACACACTTTGCTTAAACTTAAATTGTATAAATTCTCGATATTATTAGGCACAAAGAGCTGTTTTGATCAAACATGGCATTTTTTATTCATATGCATTATTTAATATGTTTAATGTAATTTCTATAATGATTAACAGGAAAATCGCATGACACAAGAAAATCGCATTTATCAATAATGTGGTACAAAGCAGACAGAATTATCTTTATGTGCCTGTTGTGCGTCCAGTCAATGACAGCACATGACCAGAATACTTGCCATCTGCCAAATCATTTAATTCAAGAGATAGACTCTTATGCGCCAATAGTACACAGAATAATTAATGAAAGTATGCAAGGTTCATTCAAAGGGACCACATGGCAAGATTTGGCAACATTTGTTGACAAGTTTGGCCCGAGATTTACCGGTACCCAAGTTCTTGAAGACGCTATTGATTACGTATTGAACAAATCGATCAGTTTAGGTTTAGATAATGTTCATGGTGAACCAGCCACCGTACCACGCTGGGTCAGGTAATAATAAAAAGTAAAATATAATTCATAAACGCATATTAAAATTAAATAAAAAAACAAACGCGATGATTATGATAATAAATCCAGAGGTTCGGAATCTGCAACTCTTTTGCAACCACGGCAAAAAAATCTGGCGTTACTGGGTCTGGGCTATAGTATTGGTACTCCGATAAAAGGCATAACTGCTAATGCTGTCGTAGTGAATAGTTTCGCAGAACTTAAAAAAAGGGCAGAAGAGGTAAATTTAATAAATAAAAGATCGAGACGCAACACATTTTTGTCCTTAATTACAATAAAGTAACTTTTAAATCAGATTCCCGGAAAAATAGTCGTGTACAATCAAAAGTTTGTCTCGTATGGAGAGACTGTAGAATATAGAAGTGTGGGAGCTATAAGAGCTGCAGAATTGGGAGCTGTAGCTGCATTAATCAGATCAGTAACGCCATTTTCATTGTACACCCCACATACGGGTATGATGAATTATGCAGAGAACGTTACTAAAATCCCAGCTGCTTGTATAACTGTTGAAGACGCAACTCTCCTGAGAAGGATGGCGGATCGAGGTAAAAAAAAAAAAAAAAAAAAAAAACACTTGAGATCTTCGCTAGACAGATAACTGATGATATATTTATTTAGGTGAAACGATAGTGATAAACTTAAAAATGGAAGCGAAGAGATATCCCGATACTCAATCTCGAAACGTTGTAGCGGATATCATCGGCTCTAGCGCGCCTGAAAAAGCAGTCGTCGTTTCTGGACATATAGATAGTTGGGATGTTGGAATAGGCGCAATGGATGATGGAGGTGGCATTTTCATATCTTGGAACGCATTAAAATTGTTGAAACACGAAGAACGATAAGGTTCATAATATTTTGAAATGTTTAATTTAACTAATTGATATAAGATTAAGTATATATATTCTATAAGCGTCTTGTTATATAGCAAATTATTTATATTATATTTAGAATTTACAATTTATAATTTATATTACATATGATATTTTATATATATATATAGAATGATAATGTGGACTGCTGAAGAATTTGGTCTTCTCGGAGCGGAACAGTATATACGGAATCACGCTGCAGAGAATGGAAATTTGCAGTTCGTGATGGAATCTGATTTCGGTACTTTCACGCCTACAGGTCTCGAAGTTTCAGGAAACAATTAAAAAACGTTTATTGTTTTTATAACACAATTTTTATATTTAAATTTAAATAAATATTATTTTTTTATATTTATTTTATAATAATTTTTATTATTTAAAATGAACATAGATCCTTTTATATTTCTAGATTGTTAGCTCCGTTGGGTAACATGAAATTAAAGAGCCCATGCACAGGCCCTGATATATCGTTTTGGATTAAAGCTGGCGTGCCAGGTGGTGCTCTTTTAAATCGAAACGAAAAATATTTTTATTATCATCATTCAAACGCGGATACCATGTTGGCAGAAAATCCAAAAGCTCTGGATATGAATACAGCTTTATTCGCAGCGGTATCATTTGTTTTAGCAGATATCAGCGTTGATCTGCCTCAACACAATTTCACTAGCGTATCATAAAAATCAGTTTTTGATATATGTATGTCACGTAATGATGAATACACAGAATTCTGTATCTAGATTATTGACTTCATCGCCATGTTTGAGGGTAACATGGCGATGAATCTCATGTTCAAAAGTTCACTCTCATGCATAAATCCAATCCGATCCAATGACGCGACATTTCAAAGTCGGAACAAGGCCTATCTCTCATACGTATGCCTGTGATGTGCACGCAGGTTGTGCACGCAGGTTGTACACAGAGACATACGGGATTTACAATTTAATGCTGGTTCCCAACGGTAGTTTTTGAGAGATTTTCTTGGCAATAGATACTCTTGGTGGTTTGCCAGACTACCGAAGAGGAACTACGAGCGCGTGAAAAATTTTTTGAATCTGCCTGAGATCGAACTCGGGATCTCTGGCAGTCTCGTGCGTTACCTATTAGGTCATGCTTGTGCTCATTCATAAATCACATATTGGGTAATAAAAATTTGATGGCATAAGTTAACAATTAAGTATCGTTCTATTTTTGTTACTTACTGAATGTCAAGAAAGATGGAATCATGATGGAAAGAAACTCAGGTATGCTCTAAATATATTTTTAACAGTTAATGAGAACGTGACACCATAAGCCGCCGTTCGAAATTTGTCTCGAGAATAAGTCACCTCAGTTTCTTCCGCACCATATATGAAATGCTTGTGTCAATCCAAATGAAAATCACCCATCACAAACAATATCATGATAATGATATATAATATTTAGATAGAACGCATATATGTGTATACATAAATTAAAACAAGAAATATGATCTTAAATTTCGAACTGTTCTTTTCTTTCTATCATATCTTATTTCTTTCTATTTTATATTTATTTATTTCTATTACATGGCAGTTAGCAGTTTAGGTTTAAATATAGAATCTGTGGATATGGATATGTAAATCACTGAAATTATTTATAGAGTGTTTTATTTCAAATATGCCTGTATATACAATCACAGCATATAAACGATTAGGCCTACGATAATACCTAGACTAAACTCTTTAAAAGCATCGAAATGCAAATATGATCAAACGAGCTAGATTTCATGAATCGCTTTCTATTTGATCTCTTTGCTTGCTTGCTTAACAATCTTATTAAAAGATTTTTCAAAGACTATTTAAAATATACTATATCATAGCTACCTCGCAAAAATGTTAAAATTAACAGAATACATATGTTCCACAAAGTCCAATTATTGAGATATATAGCTTCACTTTTCCGATTTGCAATAAAGCAAATAAATCGTATTAAAGTATAAAAACATTTTGATGCTAAATTATAATGGGATACATAAGTTTTCATTAGTCACGAAAAATTTAAGAATTAAATAAATTAAATGATCTTATAATCTCTCACATATTATTCTCGATATTTAAATATTAGTTTGAATTATCAATTATCTTAAAATTTTTGTTTCTGGTTGTATGTATAAATTATCAGTCTCAATCAAGTATCAATGAATTTTGTGATTTATATTAATGTATCTTCGTCCTGATTTGGAAAGACCATCAATAAAGAATGCTGAGAAGTCGTTCTCTGACTTGAAGTTAACAGAGCGGTTTTCTCGCCTCCGCTGCCATTCATCGAGCAATCCGGAGAACTGCCATCGAAAGCCATGTAATTTGTGGTCGTGCTACTCGTAGATGGCATGTCATTTAGATCCGGTGAGGCCAAAGGCGGAGCTTGACCTAAACGAGCATTAGTACCGTCTAGTGATACGATCTGCATACTATATGATTCACGATATCCAGATGTACTAGATGTGTCTTCGTCCCAGGACACATCTGACACCTGAGGATGCACATGGTGATGAAAGTAGTGACAATGATGGTGCTGATGCGCCGCTCCATGGAAATGTTGCTGATCTGCAGGCACGTTGGAATTTTTGTCTCCATCCGATTTGCGAATAGACTGACTTCGTCTAGAACGAATGGATGAGGAATTAGATGGAATACTAGATGATAGCGGCGGATCCACTGCTGATGATGTCTGTCCTGTCGCTTTCGGTTGATTCATTGGTTGTTCCATGAGGGTCGCATCCAACTGTTCCAACTTTGTCTGCGTCGTGAAAGATAATATTTTATGTCAGTAAAGTAGAACTTAATGTACTAAATAATTAATTAAAAGTAAAAATACGATGATAATGAAAACTATCGAGAAGCTGTATGGAAAACTAAAAAATTCTATAATTCAATAATGATTGGAAACTTGAGACCGGAAAAAACTTATGTAAATGTTATCACCTCAATGTGACTCTTTCGACTTTTTCTTAAGCGGAAGGTCTTCTTGCTTTGGCCCATAGAACGTTGTAAGCGAGGCTTGTCGGTACGTAATTCTCCGGAACTGTCTTCGGTCGGACTGCTTGGACTTAGTTGGCCCGTCACCGTCTCTCCTGGCGGGACAGTCGACGATCACACATGTCGCGTCTACCGTTTTATTCACGAATTCTACTCTACGATTTATCTACTCATGCTCTTTTTTCGAAGTGTATGATTCAAGATTGTTTTTGAAGTGCGTAGGAAATATTTTACATCCGCGTCCCGCGTGCTTGATATTATGTAACATGATACTATGTACATCTTTAGTACAAAGTAAGTTTTTTTAGGATTATAAATATATTCTATTTTATAATTTTTTTGAACATTCTTAGACGTGTGACTCTCGACAGAGATTAGACATTACATAGAAAATTAGGGGTGTATTCTTTATGGAATCGAATGACATTTAGATCGATCGTTAATTCTGAAACAAAATATTTCAACTTTGATATTTAGAGAGAATGCCATAAAAACATGGATGAATATAAAAAGATCAGACATTGATTAGAAATGATTATTGTACAGAGAATGTTTTATATAGATTGACATATAATGATGGAGAGATTTTATTATACGTGTAGAATACGGTATTGCATGTAAGTTGCACGTTAAAAATCGAAATTAATATTTTTATAGAAAATGTTACAGTGTCTGTTATATGCATGCAAGATTGTATTTGCAAAACAAATCATTTTAATGTCGCTTCGGAAGTGATAACATGAGAAACGTGAGAAACGTGAGAACTGTGATTATATACATATGTGATTATGCACATGTTGTACATGTCCGCGCGATATTAGATATCAGAGGGAAAGATGTTTATGTCAGAGTTACATAAGAAACTTCTTGCATATTGATAAAGTTAATTAAATATAAAAAAAACTAGATCAAAGTAGTCATTACATTATGTGTTAAACGTAATATTTGAATGCTTTTATTCTTAAATTATTCTATTCATTTCAGAAATATAAGTTCTATTTTTTGGCAAAAATGTTAATGATGTAAATAATAGTAATGTTGTATCGGTTAATTAATAAATAAAACCTAGTATTATAATATATAATTAGCTTTCGTCTTTAATAAACTAATTAAAAGCGTAACTTACAAAGTTCAAAACTTTATCTAAAAACACGGTAGTGTTTCGGCGCTAAGACATTGCGTAAGATACTGACGTGCCTCAAATTTACGTTATGAGTTTTACTTCATGCAAAAGCTCAAACTAAATCTGCAAAATCTAAACTACGAATTTATTTCTATTTAATTTAATTTCTAAGTAATTTCTCAAATTTAATGTATTGATAAAAAATGATTGTTATATAACATACATAATGAATAACCAATGCAACTAAAATAGATGTAACAAACAGAAGAAATATTTTCTACAATCTTGCATTTTTGTTTTGAATTTTTGTTTAAAACTATCTGTTTAACAAGAAACGCGGTAATGTCATGTTAATTAATGGAAAGTAGCTTATATTTGTGTGACATGTCGGTATTACTGCAGACGAATTAATAAAATTGTAATTCCAAGTTTATATTTTCAAAGTCAAATTTTTGATCGATTAATTTGATCAAAGCTTTTAATTTTTGAGAATGAAGATTAAAGAAAAGTTTAGACTTCTAGAATAAATCTTTGCAAATTTCTTCAATTCATTAATTTTTGCAGTAATATTCAGATATTATGTCAAGTTGGAAGAAGGAGATGAAGTCTTTCAAGGAACATGTTAATAAATATGTATATCGTGTATAAGCTAAAGCGGGGACAGGGATTTACCTGATGAGTTTCTAAACTCTACGGAAGAGACAAAGCGCAGCTTTGGCGCCTTTTGGTGAGGTAAGATAGAATGAAGCTTAACATGGTTACGTTCATCGCTAGTAGAAGATGATTGGAATCTATCTGAAACATGCCACATCGAACGTCTAATATGAGGGGAGGGATAACAAGTAAGACAGACCACGATATAGTAGTCATCGTTGATACGTTGTTCACGATCATACGTCGTGTCAATGTTGCACACTTCGAACCTGAATCTTGGGAATATTGGTTAAGTGTAATTGTGATGCGATAAAGTGTAATGCCTTAAATGATTTTACTGAAAATAAAGTCACCTTGAATTTATAGCTTATGAGCGATTCATGAAATTTTATATAAAATTTTATGTTTCTCGATGCATTTTAAATTTATATGAGTAATGAAATGAGATATTGTATTTATATCCTGATCTCATAATCTTATAATCACGATTTTACTTTATAAAAGTGATAATG